TACATTTAAGTTGCTTCCATATCTTGGCTATCGTAAATTGTGCTGCCATGAACATTGGCGTGCATAGACCTTTACGAATTATTGTTTTGGTTTTCTTTGGCTAAATCCCCAGAAGTGCAATTGCTGGGTCAATAGGTAGATCCATTTTTAATTCTTTGCAAAACCTCAGACTGTTTTCCATAGTGGCTGTATCAATTTTCAGTCCCACCAACAGCATATGAGGGTTCCCTTTTCTCCACATCCTAGCCAACACTTGTTCTTTGATTTATTGATGATTATCATTCTGACAGGTGTCAGGTGATATGTCATTGTGGTTTTAATTTGCGTATCTCTGATGATTAGTGACCTCCAGTATCTTTTCATATGCCTATTGGCCATCTGTATTTCCTCTTTGGAGAAATATCTATTCGGGTATTCTGCCCATTTTTTAGTTGGATTGTTTTTTTTTTGTTGTTGTTGTTGAGTTGTATGAGTTCTTTATATATCTTGGATATTAATCTCCTATCAGATGTGTCATAAGTGAATATCTTCTCCCATTCAATTGGTTGTTTTTCTGTGGTTTTGATAATTTAAAAAAATTTTTTTTATCTATTTACATTAATTTATCTATGTTAATGAGGTATAATTGACAGAACATTATTAGTTTCAAGTGTACAACATAATGATTCAATATTTGTATAATTGCAAAATGATCACCATAATAACTCTAGTTAACATCTGTCACCATGCATAGTTATAAAAATTTATTTTTTTTTGATGAGTAGTTTTAAGATCTATTCTCTTTGCAAGTTCCAAATATGTAATACAGTACTATTGTCACCATGCTGTACATTACATCCTCAAGACTTATTTTATAACTGGGAGTTTGTACCTTTGTCCCACTTTATCCATTTTGCTCATCCCAAGCCCCTGCCTCTGGCAACTACTATTAATCTGTTCTCTGTATCTATGAGCTTGTTTCGTGTGTATGTGTGTGTGTGTGTGTGTGTGTGTGTACCTTTTTTAGAGTCCACATGTAAGTGAGATCATGTAGTATTTGTTATTTTCTGTCTGAATTACACCCTCAGGGTCTACCTCTGATGTCTCAAATGGCGAGATTTCATTCTTTTTTATGGCTGAATAGTATTCCATTGTATATATGTACCACATTTTCTTTATCCATTTATGTGTTGAACATTAAGTTGTTTCTATGTTTTGGCTATTGTAAGTAATGCTACAGTGTACATGGGGGTGATTATATCTTTTCAAAATAGTGATTTCATTTCCTTCAGATATTTACCCAGAAGTGGAACTGCTGAGTCATAGGGTAGTTCTATTTTTAATTTTTTGAGGAACTTCCATATTGTTCTCCATAGTGGCTGCACCAATTTACATCCCCACCAACAGTGCACAAGGGTTCCCTTTCGTTCACATCCTTATGAAACACTTGTTATGTCTTCTTGATAACAGCTATTCTAACACGTGTGATTTGGTATCCATTGTAGCTTTGATTTGCACTTCCCTGATGATTAGTGACACTGAGAATCATTTTATGTACCTGTTGGTCACCTGTATGTTTTCTCTGGGAAAATGCAAATTCAGATCTGCCCATTTCCTGATTGGATTTTTTTTTTTTTGCTATTGAGTTGTATGGGTTCTTTATATTTTTGAATATTAACCCATTATTAGGTATATGATTTGCAAATATTTTCTCCCATTCAGTAGGTTACCATTTCATTTTGCTGATAATTTCTTTTGCTGTGCTAAAACTTTTTAATTTGAGGTATTCCTATTTGCTTATATTTGCTTTTGTTGTCTTTGGTGTCAGATTCAAAAAATTGTTGCCAAGACTGTTATTAAGATTACTGCCTGTATTTTCTTCTCGGATTTTTATAGTTTCAGGTCTTACATTCAAGTCTTTAATCCATTTGAATTAATTTTTGGTTGTGGCAAAAGATAATGGTCCAGTTTATTTTATTATTACTTTTTTTTGCATGTAGTTGTCCAGTTTTCCCAACAGTATCGAAGAGACTGTCCTTTCTCCATTGTATATTGTTGGCCCCTTTGCCATAAATTGACCATGCAGGCATGGGTTTATTGCTGGGCTCTCTGTTCCATTGATCTATGTCTGTTTTTATGCAACACCATACTATTTTGATTACACTATAGCTTTGTATTATAGTTTGAAATCGGGGAGTGTGATGCCTCTAGATTTGTTCTTTCTCAAGATTGCTTTGGCTATTCGGGGTCTTTGTGGTTCCGTACACATTTTAGAATTGTTTTCTCTACTTCTGTGAGAAATGCCATTGGAATTTTGTTAGGGATTACAATGAATCTGTAGATTGCTTTGGGTAGTATGGTCATTTTAACAATATTAATTCTTCCAATCTGTGAGCATGGAATATCTTTCAATTGATTTGCTTCTTCGATTTCTTTCATTAATGTCGAAAACTTTCACTGTATAGGTCTTTCAACACCCTGGTTAAACTTATTCCTAGTTATTGTTTTTGATGCAATCCTAAATGGGATTTAAAAAAAATTTCTCTAATAGTTCATTATTAATAGAAATGTAACATATTTTCGTATATTGATTTTGTATCCTGCAACTTTACTGAATTGATTGATTAGTTCTAACAGTTTCCTGGTGAAATCTTTAGGAATATAAATATATATATATGTAGTGACAAATAGTGACAATTTTACCTCTTTCCATTTGATTTCTTTTTCTTTCTTTGTCTTGCCCAATTGTTCTGGCAAGGACTTCTAATGCTGTTAAGTGTGAGAGTGGGCAACCTTGTTTTGTTCTTGATCTTAGAGGAAAAGTTTTCATGTTTCATCATTAAGTATGATGTTAGCAGTGTAGGTTTGTTATATATGACCTTTATGGTGAGACACATTCCCTCTATAACACCTTGAGAGTTTATATTTGATCTCCTTTACCCACTTCACCATCCCCCTACCCCCTATTTGTGACCTTTACCCCATCTACCTCCCCCACCCAACTAGTAATCACTACTCTATAGTTCTCTGGTAACCACGAGTCTATAGTCCATGCCCATGAGTCTCTGTTTGTTTGTCCCGTCC